ACTTTACAAGAAACTTTTTAACTCTATTACCTCAACTACTTTGCTCATTTCACCAGAATGGCATGGGCATGAAATGTTTCTTTTGTATTCTTAATATTAAGATGTGCTCAGACAAAAGCAAAATGGAATGAATGAACCTTTGTTGCCCCTAATTGACTTTGTCTTGCACATCAAAACCTCCTAAACACAAAAAAACATATAAACATATACAACAATAATACAATACAGTACCATGATAAAAAACAACATTCAACAACATTGCTCAGTCAGAACTCTTCCAGTACCATAAAGATGAAAAAAAAAAAACTGTCAATTAGCTGTCGGAGTCTAAAAACAACAATAAGATAATAAAATCCCTACAGGATCTGTAACATTTTCATTGTGCAACAATTGAATGCTTTTAGTTATGAAGGAAGTAAATGAAATAAAAGGAGGATCTGCACTGAAATGATTGACAAAAAAGTTGATAACCACAAGTACATCAACAGTATATTATTTTTGCTGCTCTTTGTATTACCGAATTCTATGTACTGACAACTCCTAACTAAAAACAAAATAAACTGAAACTTATTGCAATTCAGTACTTGATTAATTTTAATAAAATTAAGGGTCAGGACCAAAAAAATATGGTAAAAAAAAATAAATAAAAAAGCACAGCTCACAAAAAGAATGAAATTCCCCACAGTTCCATTTTATACATGAACTCCCTTCAAACACTTGATGTTTGAACATGAATTGAGTAACTGGTTAAGCATGAATTAAGGTTAACTGACATTCCTAAAATTAAATTTTGGGAATATCTACCATAAGTTTCAAAGGTCTCAAACAAATTGATTTCAGAACTACTTTTTTTAGAAAGAGTTTGTTATTCACATACACAACTTCATTAAATATGAAATTTTGTGTCTCATGCTTTTATACTAAGGGTCAATAAGGATATTCCAAGAAATCCAAAATGGTCACCAGGCCTCACGCCCATACAGTCGTATATTTTGTCATAAAACTAATTTGCAGTAGTGTATTGAAGATAATTCAATTCCCATTATGGCATTCTTGCATTGGGAGATATGATCAGAGGGTCCTGATCGCTGTTCCCAGGGGAGAAAAAAGGACGGACTGTCCTGTCGATTTCCTCATCAAAAAAGTAGATGAGTCGTTTTTTCTCACTTTTGTTGGAATCTTTATCAACATTGTAGAAGCGGACCTTCTTGTTCTCATAGTCCAGGTAGATCCCCACTCTTGTGAGAACACCTGTGTCCAGTCGGGTCTCTGGGTCAGTCAGGGCCATCAGCTTCCCATCCCAAAGACTCAGGACCCAAAACCCAGCTCCAGGGCTCAGACTCAGTTGCCCCTTCCTGCTCACTGAGTCTCGGGCCACTCCCAGCTCCCAGGACTTCTTGTTTCCAACCTCCACCTCCCAGTAACACCCACGCCTCAACTCTGCTGGTAACCTGTTGCCCAGCACACAGGGGTATTCATCAAACTTCTCTGGGATGTCAATGAGATTCTGGCGCTGCTCTGTCCACCTCACTGATCTGCCATCTTCTGACACTATCAGGTAGGGGTTGATAGTGTTCATATCCAGGTTTATTAAGACTGTGGAGAAAAACATCTTAAAATGGTCGAACGTAAATACACAATAGAACAGGTAAAGGTTTGTCCCATGCAAAAAGGAGATGATAAGTTTCATCTGCGGTACCTTCTTCAGCTGTGAGTCCTACTTGAACTTTATAAAAACACAACAAACAGTGCAGAAAATAAGCGACTATTCATACCACAATTGTAGCTAGCAATTTAGTTGCAAGAACAGATCTATTCTACGCATCTAATGTTGCCTGTTTTTTTAAGGGCATATTAAACAAAATGGCTGGAAAGTTTGTTGAAGACACCCAGAAACAAAATGCCTCCTTTTCATAGCTCCATAAGCTGGCATTACATTTGTCTGTGAATAATTAAGAAATAAAAGTTAATAAATTCTAGAAATGAATGAATGAGAAATAACCTACCTTCCAACAAGCGTACATCAGGGAGATCTGAAAGACATGAAGCCAACAAGACAATGAGTATGGTTAATGAATGTTACATGTTTGAGTAAATCTTGCTCAGTTTCAAAACCTATAAACCATTGCAAAAACCCTTGTTTTTTCTCCATGTTAAGACTGTTTTAACATTTTAAATTTAACAAAACATCTTCGTACAGAAGTCACTCCCGTTTCAGTCCACGGTGTCTGAGAAAACAATGCTCATGACAAATATTTAATGGGTTTGTCTTGAGTTCTACAGAATCAAAAAGAGGATGAGGGAAGAAAGAATTCTGCACATACAGTATGTGCCAACATACCCTAATCCACAAGTATCTGACTTTATCAAATAACTGTTTTTCTTCAACTGGAATCTACTAAAAAACTTTCAAAATGAAAGCATAACTTCAGAGTCAAGGAAAGGAAGGAAAAAAAAACGTAATCATGTGTGAAATGTTACAGTTGTTTTATCTTGCTGGTTATACAAGGGTGGGATAAATTATCCTAGTCTGTTTTAAATATATTCCTTAATAGTATTAGGAGCACTTGATACTTAGTTTAACTGGCAGAACAGAACAACTAACAGAAAGGTGTGTACAAAACAATTCAGAAGTGCCAAATAAATTCAAAAAATTGGTGAATTCCTTCTTACATGGGTGGCAAAAATCTCTACATGATTTTAAAAGATAAATCTTACAGCCTGCAGTCTATAATACTGTTACTCTATCTGGAAAACAGTGTGGTACCTCCTAAAACTCAACAAAAACCTTCCTTTGCCAAATATACACTGAAGAGTACGCTGGTTTCCAGTTTTTCCAATATATCATTTAATAAACAGATACGTTCTTTAACTGACTACTGTTTAGTACCTACCAGCTACTTCTCCTTCTCCTGACCACTGTTTAGCACTTTCTCCAGCTCCTTCCTTCTTACCTGTAAGTCAAGACACACACCAATAAATTAATAATTGCCCACTAAAATAGGCTTCACATGTATAAATTGTATTAAAACACTGTGTGGCAAAAAGCTCTAGATGAATGTGACAGATAAATCTTACAGCCTGAAGGCCACACAGTCTATTTTACTGATAATGTTATGCACAAACTGATTCACTTGCAATCACCTACAAGTACAAGTACCTACTGAACTCAACAAGAGCCTTTACTAATGCCATCTTAGCTGTCATATTTTTCTGATTATACATATAAGAGTAGGATAGACTATAGTTTTCAGTTTCTTCATATATTACTTTTAAGAACTGTTTTACTAACAACTGTACAGTACTTACCATCTCCTTCTCTTACGTTTTCCCTGGTTCCTGTAGGTGAAGACAAACACCAATCATTTATGAATTACCTGATAAAATGCAGTTTAGACTGTGAAACACATGAGAATGGCTGGAGAATGTGAATGATTATTGTTACAGCTTGAAGGCCACAGTCTTACTCTGGACACAAGAGCCAGCTATGAAGACTCCTATAACATTATTAATGCAAACTCAGTCTTGTCTAAAGCATTACAAACACTTTCAACAGCATTAACAGGAGAGACACTCTTTCCTAAAATAGCACTGATTTTTAACAGGCTTAATTTAAACTTAATCGTGTCATTAAACTGGAACAAAGTCCATCTGAAAAGTGATATGTTTTGAAATGTCAAGGTCAATACTGATTCAGTATCATACATGGGACTGTAATTCACCTGAGAGACGGGTATAGTTCATTCCATGATTACCTGTAAAATATAAAAAATATGTAACAGAACACTTCAAGTCCATCCGATTTTTAACACACTGTTTTATCAGTTTCAGTAAATAAAAGACTATAAAGACAAGGAGTCACAAATGTAGATCCTTACACGTCTACTGCCTTCTGCTTATTTTCAATCAAAACTTTCAGCTACATAGTTAATTCATTCTTTACCTGTATAGTTGTAGCACTTCTAACCAGGAACAGGGGTACTTAAAAGCTAACTGTGCCTTCAGTGAAGCAATTTTGTTTCAGTGATCAAAAGTAGAAGCATTAAGAAAAACTCCATACATGTCTAAGAAAATAATTACCTTAATTGTTTAATTGACTACCCAGAGTGGAACAAAAACCAGAAGACCCAGGATGGA